CGGGGTAATTCTATCTGTTGAGCTTGCTAATCTTCAGTTCTAACCCAATAGTAAACCGTCTGATACGAATATGCACATATTTATAAGACATGGTACAATAGCCGATGTATTTATAGAAAGTTCAATTTTAAACATTAACTAAATCATTTGACGGACGGCTGTGTCATAGACGTCCATGGCTGTGTAGTTTAAAGTACTGTAAATACCCAGGAAGTTATTGGGCTAATCCATTGGCTGTCAGACCTGTCAGTCTGTTCTCTCAGAGGAGTCCCCCCCACCACCACCCCTCTCTCAAACATTTTGTGAGATGATTTTTATTTTATCAGTAGCTACTCTACAAAGTAACAGTTACAATATTTCCTGTAAATCCCAACCTAAACCACTGTTTTTCAACCATGTGGTTACGACCCTATTTGCGGTCACCTGACATTCAAATGTGGTCACCTGAAATGTCTTCAACAATGACTTCAACAATAAGAATATCCAATATATAACCAAAGCTAATGACCACTTCCGGGGCTGTAACGTTTTAACGATTTAGAATATAATCATTTTATAAAAGTTACCCTCAAGAGTCATGATCATGACATATAATATGATGACTACAGTACGACCATCCAGCACTGATTAACATCCCATATCTGATGTGACTCATGATTTGTCTTTTTGTGTATTCAGAGCCAGTAAGTAACATTATAAAATATGTAATATAGTATAATATAATTCATGTAAAATATGTATAATTAAAACAATTTGTTGATAAAACATGTTACGGTAATAACAAAAAACTTGAATGTATATTCCTGTAATGTATTTTAATCTTTCTATTATATATTATATATGTGTGTGTGTGTGTGTATATATATATATATATATATATATATATATAAACATGATGTGAACCATATTGACTGTAATAACTAAACATTCCTCTTTTGTTTTCTTTCTAACCAGTTACTTTTGCGTTTCTGGAGGCATGTCCAAGAAAAGGGGCAGGTAGGTCTGTGAAGTTAGTATTGCTGTATTAGCAATGCAGTTGTGGTGTTGCTAGTACTTTGGTATCACTGGTACTTATGAATATGTCATGACAAAATATTGCTACTACAAAATATCCAGCGATTACGTCTTGCGGTAAGTTATCGATAATATAATTCAAAAAAACCTGCTACAATTTTTAAGCGACAACATGATTTTGTATCAATTTGCCCCAAGATTTTAACATAACACAAGGACTTTTGTCAAGTCGTGGTCAGTGTGTGCTAAAGGAAAATCCCGGTGTTACTAAACAGGGGTCTAACGCACCTTATCATGGAGGAAAACACATTTTTTTGTCCACCGAAAACGAGCAGTCAGCTAGATAGCAAACCACTGCACACCACTGCAGCCCTACATGACAGTGTAACAACAAAACAGTTATAATCCAGATTTGGCAAAACCTTTAAAAATTAAAGTATGTAGCCATTCATAGATGGTGAACAATATCTTATGATACTGAGTGAGTCATCGCACATATAGGGACAAACAACCATTTACACTCACATTCATACCTGTGGTCAATTTATGCCAGGTCAACCTACTGCCCATTAAGCATATATTTGGGGTGACCCCCATACAGAAAGATCAACTGGGGAGAACACGTAAATCATAAAACTATAACGCCATAATAATTTAATTTTCTAACATTTTAATTTTGTTTTGCTACTAGGAAGCGAAGCATCGGAGAACTGAGTGACACTCCAAGTCCAGATCCTAACAGCATCCTTGGAGTTCGTATTCAACATAACTGGCGCGAGAAGGGAAACCAAAGCAAATGGAAAGGAACGGTGTTAGATAGGCTCAGCGTAAATCCATCTCTCTTCATGGTCAAGTATGATGGCTTTGATTGCGTTTACGGCATTGAGTTGTTTAAGGATGAGAGAGTGTCCAACCTGCAAGTTCTGTCCGAGAAAGTTGGTGAGGAGTCTCTTCCCTTTACCTTTGATCACCCTGTATGTCTGTGATAACGGTTTTACATGCTTTTAAAATGTACTTTCTCTGTGTGTCTGTACCTCTGTAGTAAATAACAAAATCAAGATACCAGCAGGGGCTGAGGACCTGGTGGGTAAAGCTGTTGAGCACCTATTCGAAAAGGAGGACGGAGAGAAAAACGAGTGGAGGGGCATGGTCCTCTCCAGAGCTCCCATCATGACCAACTGGTATTACATAACATATGAAAAGGACCCTGTTCTTTATATGTACCAACTGTGGGATGACTACGCTGACGGCGACCTCAGGATTCTGCCTGAAGCAGGTACCAGTGACCATGCAGGAGAAATTGATGCTTGACACCCGTCGAGGTTTTCATTATCCCATCCTAAGGGAGTGTCAATGACAGCAACTGTTTGCTTCTAATGGAAAATTGGCACCTCTTTTGGATGTTGATTTGCTACGGAATTATTTTTACTATTTTAATGTGCAAAAATAAAACCATGACAATTTTCATAGCCTAGTGTATAATTGGAAGCAAATGTCTTTGCCTCTGTGCAAAGGTCATTTTTATAACCTAGTGGTTGTTCAGTTCCTAAATTACATCAACTCTGTATTTACAATAGTTTAAGTTTAGTTTTTTTTTTTTTAATTTTGGAATCAGGATTGTTTATTCTGGGGTATTTTTCTGCTCTCCTTAGAAAACAAGCACCTATTGCCCGCAGACAGGAAGCCAGGAGAAGAAACGGAGAGTCTGGTTGGGAAACAGGTTGAGTATGTCACTGACAAAGGTGTGAAGAGGACTGGCCTGGTCATCTACCAGGTCCCAGCCAAGCCCTCCGTCTACTACATCAAATACGACGACGATTTTCACATCCATGTATACGACCTGGTGAAAACCACCTAAAAATAGTGGACATTTGTGCATATCTCACTCTGCAGTCCTCCACAACCATCACCACTCCTGCTCCTCTTCTGTTCATCGTTACAGTTTATTTTTTTGTTTTCAATTCATGAATGGCAGGGTTGATGAGTAAAGAAGCTTTATTTTCTAGAAGTGCAATCTTTTTCTTTTGTATACATAGCCAAATCTCAACAGCACAATGTTATGTTTAAATGTTTTATATTTGATGCTTTACTTGCTATAATTTAAAATATTATTTAACTTTTGGGCAGTGCTGTCCAGCAGCTGCAAAGTGTATCATAATGATTAAAAATGCTGCTTAAACATAAAGGCACTTTTGTTTGCATTTACCTAATAGGCATTGAGCTTGGTACAATTGCCTTACGTTTAGTGGTAGCTACAGTGAATACTTGTACTGTTCATCTTATCAGTGTTAGTACTGTCAGTGGTGAATAGCGACATCACAGTCACTTTAACGAAACCCTAAAATTTATAGTGTTTTGATTCACACACAATTATGTGATAATAAACCGCTGCTTTTTTCAACCATGCTTTTCCTGTTGTCTCCATGGCTGTGAAGAATCCACACATTCATCCTCAGCATATTCACTGATTTGTCTCAAAATGTTCTTGCCTCCATGTCTGAATCAATAGCACAAGGAAGATTAATTTCACTACATTGCTATTTAATAAACCTAGAGTCGTTTATATCATACAAATCATCAAGTGCCTTTTGGCATTTCATTTTTGTCACGGTGTCCCTTTAGGATTTTTATTCAGAAGTAGCAACACTGACAGCTATGTAGTATTAAAAAAAACAACAACAAATACAAACTAAATGCATCACATAAATGCTTTTTTCAAATCATCAGTGGTTGTATAAACATAATATTGTGTGGAGCACTACAATCATATAATGTTAAAATGTTTTGCTATCAAGTGAAAGTGCAGCAAGTTAATGCTTTATATCATGGGAATAATTGATTCAATACATGTCATGAGAAAATAATTTAGTCTGTAAGGAATGAGTCAAATGCATTGTAACGCTGTGTTGTGATATTTTCAACATACTCTACCAACTCTTAAGTCCGTGTACATGAACTGAACTGAAATCTATAGTCAAGTAGAAATGTCATAACTCGTTTCTGCCATAGTCACGACACACTGGAAATGCCTGCAGTTTGGATTTAGCCGTCATCCGAGTCATTTGGTTAATGCTTGTCTTTGGTAAATATGGACATTCTGCTAAGATTTTTGCTGTGAAATTGTTGCATGTACAATCTAAGTGGAGTGCCTGAAGAGTATTCAAATCCTTTGTTGACAGTTGGAGTAACCATATGTGGCAGAATTAGAATGGTTTGCTTTAACCACTTGGAATTGAAAAAATATATATATATACAAATAAGCTCACACCGTACAACACAACAGCTGATGTTGTCATGTGTTTGTGTTGACTGCGCACTTTGTTCGTTTTTTTATTATTATTATTATTCTCTCCTGTATTTGTAGCTCTCTGCACAGGCAATAGTGTCATTCTAATGCTGTCAGTAACAATAAACATTTTTGCACATATACTCTGAGTCATCACTAAACAAGCTTCTATATATACAGTGGGTACAGAAAGTATTCAGACCTCTTTAAATGTGTCACTCTTTGTTTCATTGCAGCCATTTGCTAAAATCAAAAAAGCTCATTTTATTTCTCATTAATGTACACTCAGCACCCCATCCTGACAGAAAAAAAACCCAGAAATGTAGAAATTTATGCAAATTTATTAAAAAAGAAAAACTGAAATATCACATGGTCATAAGTATTCAGACCCTTTGCTGTGACACTCATATTTAACTCACATGCTGTCCATTTCTTCTGATCCTCCTTGAGATGGTTCTACTCCTTCATTGGAGTCCAGCTGTGTTTAATTAAACTGATTGGACTTGATTAGGAAAGGCACACACATGTCTATATAAGACCTTACAGCTCACAGTGCATGTCAGAGACAATGAGAATCATGAGGATCAAGGAACTGCCCAAGCAGCTCAGAGACAGAATTGTGGCAAGACACAGGTCTGGCCAAGGTTACAAAAGAGTTTCTGCTGCACTGAAGGTTTCTTAGAGTACAGTGGCCTCCATAATCTTTAAGTGGAAGAAGTTTGGGACGACCAGAACTTTTCTTAGACCTGGCCGTCCAGCCAAATTGAGCAATCGTGGGAGAAGAGCCTTGGTGAGAGAGGTAAAGAAGAACCCAAAGATCACTGTGGCTGAGCTCCAGAGATGCAGTGGGGAGATGGGAGAAAGTTCCACAAAGTCAACCATCACTGCAGCCCTCCACCAGTCGGGGCTTTATGACAGAGTGGCCCGACGGAAATGACTCCTCGGTGTAAGACATATGAAAGCCTGCGTAGAGTTTCCCAAAAAACACATGAAGGACTCCCAGACTATAAGAAATAGGATTCTCTGGTCTGATGAGACGAAGATTGAACTTTTTGGCATTAATTCTAAGTGGTATGTGATGAGAAAACCAGGCACTGCTCATCACCTGCCCAATACAATCCCAACAGTGAA